AAAACTGCAGGCGCGGTTTGCGCTGACAATTGTTCAGTGTATTGGGGCGATAACAAAACTTGAGGAATGGAACGTGGCATGGCCCCCATCTGAAAAAGGCATCGTCCCAATGCTTTAACTAAAGATGAAGGCACAACAATGATGCAAGAAAGTACAATGAATAAATTGCGATACAGCAATAATACAAAAAACACTGTTTCAGTATGTTAACGCACATGAAACGGCTTGAGGCGCACGACATGGACGACTTCAGGTCGCTATCGGCGTCGTTGAGAGTTCATGATGCGTCGTGGACAACCTCGCAATCAAGTGGGGCGAGACGTCAAACCACCCTGTATGGTCCGAAGTACCGTTGCAGAAGCTTCTCACTGGGTCCACGTCGGCGTATCGGCGTCCACACCCAAACACGTTCACCGGGCTGGTATTCCACGAAGCGTCGTCAAAGATTGTAACGGCGGCTGTCAGTCGTCTGTTGATTCTCGATACGGAGACGCGCGAGTTTTCGGGCTTCTTCGGCGCACTTAAGGTACTCACTCAAATCGAGGTTTTCTTCATCAGTGACGTTGGGTAACATGGCATCGAGCGAAGATGGCACTTTGCCATCGCACAAGCAACATACTCGGCTTATTCACACAGCCAGTGCAGAAAAGGGCCTCCCGCCAACTTTTTATCACCAGACGGACGACGTGATACCACCACATGCATGACATCGAGCCAATATCCAACGCGGCCTCTTCCGATGATGCAGGTCGGCCAACGGAATAAGTGAGCTCACGGCTGTGGTGCAGACGGGAGCCCTATGTTCTGCCTTGCATCGCCGATATGCCTAGTACTCCCGCCTTAGTCTGATTCACCCTTGCGTGGCCTCGCTGGGAACGCCTTGCCTGCCAGCGTACTTCGGTTGCAGATATGCCCCGAAGCAGGGAGAGAGTTCCTTGCCACCGTTCCAATGTTCGATGACTTGCACACAAACAAGATTTTCGGAACTGACTACATGCTCTCTAGAGACGTTAAGCTCGTCATTTACTGTGGCAGGATAAACCTCCACTCTTGCACTCCGAGCATTTCCTCGGCCTCAAACTACCGAGTGAAAAGACCGGCAATCACAAATGCCCAGCAACAAGCGAAATTTCAGTGAGCAGCCGGAGGCACATATACCGTTTGCACGGCAGTCATTGGCCGAGCGTGCGAGTACTTTGCTCAATAATTCCACGGCTGCCGATGACAATTTTATGGAACGCGCGCCTGCTTTGACGGAATCTTCTCACCGCTCCTTAGCCGAAGCTAGAACGCACCGCAGGCAGATGAAGGCAGCATCACCCTTTCCAGTATCATCCCGACGTGCGGCTCTGCTAGTAATGACGGGCAGGTCAACATCACTCCCAGCTTACCGGCTGAGTGCCGTGTGACCATGAGTCGATTCACTCAGTCTCACTCAGATTTGACACGTTAAAGAACCCCGGGTGGTAAAAATTTTGAAACCTTGCACTACGGCGTCTCTCTTAGTGATATGGTGCTTTTGGGACGTTAAATCTTACATATAAAATATCAGTAAATCACTCAGACGCGTATCGAACCGTCTCACTATAGGTCAGCCCGGGAAAGTAATATTTGACGAGTGATCCTGAGGGGCTCTGGTTAAAAAAAAGTTTGTCGAGGGTGAGTGAGAGTGAGCCCTAAGCGCAAAATATATTGCCACGTTCAATTCCTCAAGCTTTGTTATCACCCCAATCCACTACACAATTCTCAGCGCAAACTGGGCCTGCAGTTTTTGAGAAGCTTCGGGACTTTAGTAGATCATTGCGATAAGATCACACCAACTCCGCGAACTGTACAGATTATACTGGAACACTCATCGCCGCCAGCGATAACGCTAGAACATTCGATGGCAAGAGTATAAATGCCGACGCACTTCGCCACTTGTCAGTAGTTGATCGACGGCCGACACTCCGTTCACTGCTATCTGTGCAAGACTGCTACTGTAATCGGACTTTTCGTTTACTGGGCACAGGTTCACCCAAATAAACAGTTAAATTCCAACATACAGTCTCCTGTCTTCGGCCACGCCACGACCCCGTGGCAATATTTCAAAATATGCTTTACTGGTACTCATAATCAGTCTCAATAGGGTCACCGGAGTTTTAGCTGGTCAATATTACTTGGCTCTGGTGAGCTGCCATCCGAAGCTATATTAAAAGCGAAAAGTTGGCAACTTCCTGGCTGTATGGCTCCCTCTTATCATTTTTGCATTCTCACTCTAAGCCAATTCCTTCACTGATGTCAGGAATTTTCTTCGCATGTTTTAATGAGCAGCACTCCCCGCAGGGGCAAGCAGGCGTCTGGTGTGTAGCGACACCACGGACTCAAGCTAACGGGGGGTTTGGGCCTCTCCCACGCCTAGCCGTGCATACCTGAGCCGGGTCCGGGGAAAAGCGGATCCTGGGCGCTGAGCCGACCACGGGTGATTGGAAATTTAAGGCTCCCCGGTAGAGGCAACACATTTCTTTGGCCCTGGCTTCACGTAGACGGCACCCCTGGGCTGACCCACTTAGGGGAAACCGGCAGTCGCCTTTTCTTATCTCTCTCTCTCTCTCTTCAGCTTTGTCTTTCTCTCACTTTTTATCTGTTCTGTCATCTTCTCTTTAGTGCTTACTTCCCAATTTCCTGGCGGTGAGGGTTAACCCTGTGTAGTTGTCCAAGCTTGGGTAGTTATATTCGGTTATAGCGGTGATGTATGGCTGTCGACTTCAAACGTTCTTCCTTGCAACGTCCCCTTGTTGGGCTTGATAGTGGGTGGACACTATCGCCACCTAATTTACAAACTTGTCATGGTGAACCCTTTTCCCGCTCTACCTGAAAGCCACCTGAATCGGTGGTTAAATTCAACCTGTCCTTTCAAGAAGCGCGCAAACGCTTTGCCGTACACAACCAGTCCTCTTATTCCTTCGCACGAGGAACGTCACGGCACCGTGACAAGCCGCGAATGTCACACAAAGTGTTACTGCAATCGCGTCACCAACGCCCTCGGCTGGAGCCGCCTGTGCTGCTCCGCCGTTTGCTAAACAGGGTCAGCAGACTCACGAGTCTGCTAGACCGCGGGCCACTGCAAGCGCAGTTAGGTCTGAAACAACTGCAAAAGTGCCTGCCGAGCAGATACCACCCACCACATCACAAGAGGTGATGAATAGAAGCCCCTCTCTTCCGGCACCTCAGAGGCCGAGAGACAGGCGCAGCTCTTTGGAGCGCGCCAAAAAAAAAAAATGAAAACCCCGCATTACAGCGCCCCCAAAAGGCCCTGTAACCTAAGGCACCACTTCGGTACGTACATCTCACTACGTCAGAATTGAGGCACAAATACTTCAATGAAACGTCAAAGGACTCGTGAGAAACATCGACGGTATCCAGAAACTTTTACACAAATATACACCTACAATAAACACACTTGAAACTTCAACACACCAACTTTTATTGCGATAGCATGGTAATTATATGGACACACACGGCTGAATTTTGCCGCCGGCGTGGGCACCGGCGTCATGCACTCTATATGTATACGTATCTATATATATGAAAACGCAAGAGAGAAAAATCCAGAAAGAAGACTCCTGCGCGCGCCGAATCGAACGTGGAACTTCTACGTCGTGAATGCCAAGCATTAACCACTGAGCCACCGAGGGGTACACCCTTCAACGTTCAAACGGCAAGTTATTTATATCTACCACTTACCGCTGTTGGCGGACAACTCGGAGGGGAACTATCATGTTTTCAGCATTATCAGCAAGATGGCGCAATGAGCGTGCAGCGGCTCTCATCACTCACGCGTACTTTAGCCAGCGGAGAGGAGGGGAGGGGACGATGACTCACGCACCCTTATCTCCCAGTGGGCGGATTATGCATCTTGGCTCGCGTTGGGTTTGCACAAAGCACCGTCCTAGTGTCGCTTTACTAACTTTTATGCACACTTTACACATCAAAACAACATGTCATTGTCTGCTGTGTGCCAGGGCACGATAAGATACAAGGAAACGTTTTGGCAGACAAGGTGGCTGCATCCGCCATTGGCACCACCTTCAATTCATCAATACTAATCCCTGCACTTGACGTCCAACCTTTTGTAAAACGTAAGCGCAGAGGCTATTGGTAGAGCACGTGGGGTAGACACACAGCCAATAAACTACATGCTATTAAGCCGCAACTTGGTATTTGGCCACCACTATCAAAATCACGACACACACAAGCAACACTTACAAGGCAAAGAAGAGGACACAAGCATTCTACACACTCATATCCTTTGTCTGCCGGCAATCTACCATTGTGTGAAAGATGTGGAGAACGACTTACGGTTCTCCACATCCTTGTCCAGTGCATTGAGTTAGATGTTCTAAGAAAAAAAAAACACTTCTTACAACCCTACCGACAGCAGCTCCCACTACACTCTGGCATGCTGATCGGTAGGGATCCGCTATTTAAACTTCAATCACTTTTCAGCTTTTTGAAAGATGCCTCCATAGTTTTCGCCTCATATTTCGAGGTGATTCATAGCTCGACCTCTGTACAGAGGTCACGGCTGTGACTGTCCTCTCCGCCAAAGTTGTCATTTATTCCAACTCCATGCGCTTCACGTCACCGCCATGGTTTTAATATTTTTGAGTTTTAACACGCCCCAGGCCATAAAAGTTTAGGCCCCTTTACAGCTGCGCAACACTATCATTGTTCATATTCTGTTCACATTACTTCAATAATGCACCATTGCCTTTCGCTCATCATTGCTCATGGCGCTCCTAGGCCATCACATGGCCCTGGCGCCAATAAACATCAAATAGCATAATCTCTAATGAGCAACACTGTTAAGTATTTACGAGCAAGACCAAAAAGAGGAAATCACTTTCAAAGTGTTGTCATCCGGAGTTATAAAGCAGGAAAATTTAATTGTAAGGTGAAAAATAATTTTCACTTCACGCTTTTCATACCACGTTACTGAACAGACTTTTTTTTTCTAGGTATCCAACAGTTATCAAGAACAATCGATCCGTTTCCTCTTGTCGTTTTGCTTACTACTGTGCTATCGACTCTCATCTACTGCCAAAGTACGTAATTTGTTTGTTGAAACAGTTCGTAGAAAGATAATTCAACAAAATACGTATAAAATGCTCCCGACCAAACCTAGAACCATCGGCGTGAATGTTGCAGGTTCGATCCCTGCTGTCGGCGCGTTGTTTTCAATCACCTCTGATTTATTTAAATTTAGAGCAAGTTTTTACACTATACATAAACTTTGAAAACAATGTAGGCTTTACTCTCCTTGGCTGTATTGTCCGTTGGTTTTACTATGTTCACAAGCATGCTCTTTCAGCCTTTCCCTATATTTTAAAATTATAAAGGGTAGCTGCCTTGTTTTGTCGACGTTCTCAAATCTAAATGTCTTTGGGTTTTGTTAGATATGCATATTACTGAATAAATGGAGGACAGATTGTGTTAGAAAAAACAAGCCACCCTGTTTACGAGGTCTCTCCTGACGGGAAGAGTACCAGAGTCTTGGAAGAATGCTAGCATCATCTTAATAAATAAGAAAGGAGGTGACAAGAACTTAAAGAATTACAGGTCGATCAGCTTGCTCTCCGTAGTATACAAGCTATTTTACACAGGTAATTGCTCACAGAGTTAACAAAACATTAGAATCCAATCAACCAAAGAAACAAGCAGGATTTCGAACATGCTACTCAACAATCGACCACATTCATACTATCAATCAGGTAATACAGAAATGCTCAGACTATATCTAACCACCATACATAGCCTTAATATATTACGAGAAGGCGTTTGATTCAGTAGAAATATCAGCAGTCATGCAGACACTGTGGAATCAGGGCATCTATGAAGCATATATGAACACCCTGGAAAAAATCTACAGGAGATCAACTGCTACCATAATGCTTAATAAAAAAAGCAACAGAATACCAATCAAGAAGGGTGTAAAGCAGGGGGATAATACTATTTACCGCGTGCTTACAGGAGGTTTTCAGGGGCCTAGAATGGGAACAGTTAGGGGTAAGAGTTAATGGAGAGTACAGGCTGGAGACAAGGCAGTAGGAGATTATGGCATTGGTACTAGAAACGCCAGAGGAGAGCTACTAGTAGAATTCGCAGAACGCAATAATTTACGGATTTGAAATACCTTCTACCGAAAACGAGGAAACCGCAAGTGGACATGGAGGAGACCTAATGGCGAAAAAAAGAACAAAATAGACTTTATAATGAGTGCACACCCAGGCATCGTGCAGGATGCGGAAGTGGTTGGCAAGGTACGATGCAGTGACCATAGAATGGTACGGTCTCGAATTCGCCTAGACTTGAGAAAGGAACGACAGCAACTAATACGCAAGAAGCCAATCAATGAGCTAGCATTGAGAGGGAAAGTACAGGAATTCAGAGTCTCAATTCAGAACAGGTACTCGGCTCTTAGTGAGGAAACCAACCTTAGCATAGATATGATGAATAATAATCTGACAAATATCATTACGGAGTGTGCAGTGGAAGTTGGAGGCAGGGTAGTTAGACAGGACACTGGCAAGCTTTCCCAGGAAACGAAATATCTCATTAAGAAGCGCCAAATCATGAAAGTCTCAAGTACAACAGACAAAATAGAACTGGCAGAGCTTTCGAAGTTGATTATTAGGCGTAATTTATCCGATGTAAGAAGGTATAACATGGAGAGAATTGAACACTCTCTGAAAAACGGAGGAAGCGTCAAAGCAGTGAAGCGGAAACTTGGGATAGGCAAAAATCGGGTGTATGAACTAAGGAACAAAGAGGGCAAAATAACTACCAATATGGATAAGGTAGTTGAAATAGTGGAGGAGTTTTACAGAGATCTGTACAGTAGCAGGGACAACCACGACTTTAATACTATAAGAACTAGCAGTAACCCAGATGACACCCCACCAGTAATGATAGAAAAAGTCAGAAAAGCTTTGGAGAGCATGCAAAGAGGCAAAGCTGCTGGTGAGGATCAGGTAACATCAGATCTGCTGGAAGATGGAGGACAGATTGTGTTAGAAACACTAGCCACCCTGTTTACGAGGTGTCTCCTGACGGGAAGAGTACCAGAGTCTTGGAAGAACGCTAACATCATCTTAATACATAAGAAAGGAGATGACAAGGACTTGAGGAGTTACAGGCTGATTAGCTTGCTCTCTGTAGTATACAAGCTATTTACAAAGGTAATTGCTAACAGAGTAAAGAAAACATTAGCATTCAATCAACCAAAAGAACAAGCAGGATTTCGAACAGGCTATTCAACAATCGACCACATTCATACTATCAATCAGGTAATAGAAAAATGCTCAGAATATAGCCAACCACTATACATAGCCTTCATAGATTATGAGAAGGCATTTAATTCAGTAGAAATATCAGCCGTCATGCAGACACTGCGGAATCAGGGCGTCGATGAAGCATATATAAACATTCTGGGAGAGATCTACAGGGGATCAACTGCTACCATAGTGCTTCAGCAGAAAACGAAAGTAATGTACAACAACCTCGGAAGAGAGCAGCGCTTCGAGATGGATAATAGTTTACTTCAAGTTGTAAAAGACTATGTCTACTTAGGGCAGGTAATAACCGCGGAGCAGAACCACGAGATTGAAGTAACTAGAAGAACACAAATGGGGTGGAGCACATTTGGCAAGCACTCTCAAATCATGACAGGTAAATCGCCACTATCCCTCAAGATGAAGGTATATAACAGCTGCATCTTGCCGGTACGCAGCTACTGTGCAGAAACCTGGAGGGTTACAAAGCGGGTTCAGCTTAAATTGAGGACGACGCAGCGAGCAATGGAAAGGAAAATGGTAGATGTAACTTTAACAGACAAGAAGAGAGGAAAATGGATTAGGGAACAAAGTGGGGTTAAGGATATCATTGTTGAAATCAAGAAAAGGAAATGGACATGGGCCGGGATTTCAGCACGTAGACAGGACAACCGCTGGTCATTAAGGGTAACTAACTGGATTCCAAGAGAAGGCGAGAGGGTTAGGGGGAGACAGAAGGTTGGGTGGGCAGATGAGATTGAGAAGTTTGCGGGTATAAATTGGCAGCAGCAAGCACAGGACCGGGTTAACTGGCGGAACATGAGAGAGGCCTTTGTCCTGCAGTGGACGTAGTTATGATGATGATGATGATGATGATGATGATGATGATGATGATGATGTAGATGTTGATGATTAGTTTTATTATTAAACTTGCCCACGTGGCTTGAGGTATGAAGTTTAAGCGTTGTCTTTCTGATTTTTTATTGGGTGGTGTCTAGCTTTCTGGAATACCTCTGTGCAATGCCGTTTTAATAAATTCTGCCTTCTTTACTTTAGTTAACCATGATAGCCTGCCCCAAGGAGACAAAGACATGATGAGATACGTTCGTGAGGTGAGTACTTCTCTGTCGCTTCTGTTAAAATGCGATAGCGTCGAAGAGCTCGTTACGCGAATATTCCAGCGTTGGCGTTGGTGTCAGCTTGGGCGTCACTAGTTGCGAGCAAAAGTAATCTGGTGCAAGAACGATACTTCGACAAAGATGCAAATGAAATCAACAATAACCATCTTTGTGTCCGAGCGAGGATTGAATCCGGGATGTTTGCCTGGCAAGCAGGTGTTCTACAACACAGCCACGCGTCTGCTTGGAAGCACATTTACAGTAACTTCCTCTGCTTGAGAAATGCAGTAAAAATTAGGTTCACGCTTTAAGAACACACGCGTCCTGCACACAGGCTTAACAATACCACATGTAATATATAATACTATTGCGGGATACAAGCGTGCATTACCAGCGAGTGTCAGAACATAGAATTATCATAATTAGTTCATGGCTTGACGCCAGCCAATAATTACAAAAGTCACACTCGTTACTCTACGCTATCTTTTAGGACCACGTAGTGGGTACATAGCAAGTTTGGAAGGATTTAAAGCGCATGATTACTTGCTGTTGAGCATGCCAACTATTACACAGACGGAAGTCATATGCTAAATCTTTACTGACGCAAGTCACTTTCAACATTATCGATTACATTGTAGCAATCCACAATTCACACTTCTCGAATGACATCATGAAATACAAAATCTGCAGTGAAGTACGCACTAGGGAAAAAATCTTGCCTTCACGTTCAACTCTTAAACGCAAAGCTTAAGGCTCCCCCATTTTTTTGTTAGCAGTACATGTTTTCTTAGTGGAACAATGCGAAATACTTTACTAAAAGGACGTTACTGATGTAAAAACACCGAAGGGACCTTGGAACGTTTTTCACAATTTTGCACAAAGGTCCTGGGCCTGAGGTGCAAGTCCTGAATATCGCTTACGGTCGCACATGGACAATTATGAAGACACAGTCTGATGTCTCTCGAGCACAGGCAAACGAATGGTACGACATAAAAGATGTGGCTGCTGTTTGCAAGGCATGCAAGAAAGCAGTATGCACGCTTCAGCATATTGTCACGTCGCTCCAGGGGCGTCGACAAGGTTTATTGGCGTCTGAGCAACAGGGCTCTAACCAAGCGCGTCGGTTGGGCTTGTTTGCCGGAGCGGGGGCCCACGCGCAGTTCTTTCTTTTTAGTGGTGTGTGCCTTCGCCTTGGCATACGACCCACTACTAGAAGTAGGTGGCAATATTCCTCCTCAACAAAAAAAGAAAAAGCATCATCCCGATGCTGTAAAGTTATTGCAAAATAACCGAAACAAGGTAGCTTAAACAATGAAAAAGGGCATCAGTATTCGAATGTTACATGCGATAAGTTTACTAATGATGAGGCAATTGTCGGAGCACAAAAAAACACAGGAAAAGTGGTCTTTTAAGAACGCTCAAAATAAGGCTTCATGCGCACCACGTGAACTATGTCAGAGGTAGGTTGTCTTCGTTGTACCCATCGTGACGACGTAGCGTCCGGAACCACTTCGTAGTTTACGTCACTCACGCGGCGTAACACTCTATAAGGACCGAAGTATCTGCTGAGCAACTTTTCGGAGAGGCCACGGCAACGAACAGGTGTCCAAACACAAACTTGGTCTCCCGGACTGTAATATACGTCATTTTGACGCCTATTGTAACGTCGTGCATCGACCTGTTGCTGCTGACCAATGTGTAGCCGGGCGAGCTGCCGAGTTTCCTCGGCACGCTCTGCAAATTATTCTGCGTGTGTTGTTACTTGATCGGCGTCTTCACAAGGAAGCATCGCAGCCAGCATCGTCTGAACTTCGCGGCCATAGAGAAGGCGGAACGGTGTAAATTGGGTTGTTTCTTGAACGGCGGTGTTATAAGCGAACGTCCGATAAGGCAAAATGCGATCCCACGTTTTGTGTTGGACGTCGATGTACATGGAGATTATGTTTGTGACTGTCTTATTTAGTCGCTCTGTTAAGCCGTTGCTGTGCGGATGGTAAGCAGTCGTCGTTCGATGCCTAGTGTTACTTAGTCTAAAAACTTCATCAATAAGCTGTGCAGTGAACGCTGTCCCTCTGTCGGTTATCACTGTAGATGAAGCACCGTGGCGCAGAACAATGTGGCACATGAAGAACTGTGCTATCTCAGAAGCCGTGGCTCGTGGTATCGCCTGTGTCTTAGCACAGCGGGTCAAATAGTCAGTTGCAACAATGACCCATTTGCTGCCATCGGACGATAAAGGAAATGGGCCGAGATTGTCCATGCTGACTTAGTCAAATGACTTGTGGGGTGGATCAATCGGCTTAAGTAATCCAGCCGGCTTGCTTGGTGGCGACTTTCGACGCTGTCATTAACGACAGCTTTTGACGTACTGCTGCACGCTTGCCGAAAGTCCGGGCCAGTAGTACACCTCACTTACTCTGGCGAGCGTTCGCGAGTAACCAAAATGACCAGATGTGGGCTCGTCATGACACGTGGAGAGGACATCGTCTTGCATGTACTTCGGAACGACAAGGAGGTAAGCGCGGCTCGTAGAACGGGCGTTTTTTTGTACTGGACATTATCTCGAAGGCAGAAAGACGTCACGACGCGAGATAGATGGCGAGGTATAACGGCGCTATGATCCTCTAGATAGTCGACGAGCGGTCGAATTTCTTCATCCTCTCGCTGGCGTCTGCTCAAGTCAGATGAATTAAGGGCGCCCAGGAAACCGTCATCGTCCTCTTCTTCTTGATTGACTAAGGGTATGGGCGCACGCGACAGTGTATCAGCGTCTTTATGCTTCCGCCCAGACCTATATACGATGGTCACATCAAATTCCTGTAGACGCAAGCTCCATCGGGCCAGTCGTCCAGAGGGATCACGTATGTTTACCAACCAGCAGAGGGCATGGTGGTCCGTCACCACTCTAAATGGACGACCATAGAGGTACGGGCGAAACTTCGTGATCGCCCACACTACGGCGAGACACTCTTTCTCTGTGGTCATGTAATTCACCTCGGTACGGGACAGTGAGCGGCTGGCATAGGCTATGACTCGTTCTTCGTCGTGTTGATGCTGGACGAGCACTGCGCCGAGGCCGATGTTACTGGCGTCAGTGTGCACCTCTGTGTCAGCATCATCGTCAAAATGCGCAAGAACAGGGGCTGACTGCATTCGCTGTCGTAGCTCGGCAAAAGCAGCCAATCGCTCGGTAGCCCATACAAACGATGTGTCGTCGCGTGTAAGGCGAGTCAAGGGTTCCGCTATCTTCGAAAACCCTCTAATAAATCGTCGATATTAAATGCACAAGCCCAGAAAGCGCCGAACAGCCTTTTTGTCTGTAGGATGCGGAAACGCGGCTACAGTGGCAAGTTTGTCGGGGTCGGGTCGGACTCCCTTCGCGTTGACTACATGGTCAAGGAATTTGAGCTCTTCATAACCAAAGTGACACTTCTGCGGTTTGAGTGTAAGATCTGCTGATTGAATAGCCTGTAGCACACTCCTGAGGTGGTGAAGATGTTGCTGGAAGGTTTCACAAAAAACGACATCATCAAGGTGTACGAGACAAGTTTGCTGCTTCAGACCAGTAAGCGCAGTGCCCATCATTCGCTGGAAAGTTGCGGGCACTGAGCACAAACCAAAATGAAGGACTGGAAATTCATACAGGCCATCAGGGGTCACAAAGGCCGTTTTCTCGCGGTCTCGCTCGTCAACCTCAATCTGCCAGTACCCGCTTTTTAAATCCCAAGAGGAAAAATTGTGGGCGCGACGTAATCTGTCTAACGAGTCGTCGATGCATGGCAGCGGGTACACATCCTTTTTAGTCACGCTGTTTAGCTTCCGGTAATCGACGCAAAAACGTAGCGTTCCGTCTTTCTTCTTGACTAGGACGACCGGAGAGGACCACGCACTGTTGGAAGGCTCGATGATGCCGTCGTCAAGCATTTCTCGAACTTGCGTAGGAATGGCTTCTCTTTCCTTCGCTGACACGCGGTAAGGCTGTGGGTGTACTGGGCGGGCGTCGTCTAAAGTGATGATTCTGTGCCTAGTGATCGAAGCCTGGCGCACCTTAGAGGAAGCAGCGAAGCATGACTTGAATTCAAGCAAGAGTTTTCGCAGTGCTGTCTGGTTTTCTGGTGTGAGGTTAGAATTAATATCGATATTGTTTAGAGACGTATCGGCGGCCTCCACTTCGTCTCACGAGAAGGAGATGGGAACGGTTCCTAATTCATCTTCAAACGCTAGCGAAGTGCCACGGAAAAGGTGTCGGTGTTCGTTGCTGAAATTTCTAACGAGCAGTTGAGATCGACCATCACGAAGTTGTATGATACTCCAAGCCACACAAACACCTTGAGTCAGCAGGTGTTCAAAATTACTTTCTGCTATCGCTTCACCCTTTCGCAATCCACAGCATGTGACGTCGAATATAACACTGGCTCTTGGAGGAAGCGTTATACTTTTAGTAGAAACACAAAGAACATCGGCACGTTGTTGGTCGTCCTGCTTGTTGATTTCTCGGTCGGCTGAGAAGGTGATGCGATTCTCTGGAAGATCAATGACAGCTTCATACTCCTGCAGGAAGTCAACACCAAGAATAACGTCGCGTGAACATTCACGCAGCACAAGGAAACTTGCTACAAAAGTATAACCGCAGACCCGAACTTTACTCGTGCAGGTTCCAACGGGAGAGACGGTGTGGCCACCAGCCGTCGGAATCACGGAGCCATGCCAGGGCGTCTTTACCTTCTTTAGTAGTCTGGTAATTTTCCCGCTTAGTATCAAATAGCCAGCCCCGGTATCAACTAAAGCACCTACTGCATAGCCGTCCATCAGCACCGGTATATCCAGAGAAAGTCGCACACATCGCTCAGTCGAATCTACACATTTTCCTGTTAGCATCGATCGGAGGTCTTCAGCACGTCAACTGCCAGTGACCTCGCCTCCAAGGGTCGCTTGCGTTAGTTTTCCCGGTGGGGACTGGGGGACCGTGCACCAGCATGTGGGTTGAAGATGAA